TCGGGCTGCTTTTGGCAGGCTCACCCTGTGACTCTGCTATAATGTGTTTCACCAGTGTGGCTGAAATGAAAATGTCACTATTAAACATGGCAGAATCAGATGCCATCTGGGCACTGCATCTCTTTGCGTTCTTCTTGTTTCCTATGTAGCTATTTCTGACAGTTTAATAGGACAGCGGCTTTATGATATAAAATCATACATTCATGTTTCCACAGTGCATGATGAGCTAAATGCTTTTAGGGCGCTATTTCATTGCATGCATGCATCTTTCATGCGTGGCAGAAGCTGTAATGTTCACGTAACGCCACGTTGCTGCTTAGTCCATTAGGAAGCGTAAAGTCAAAATTAATTGTCCTGCAGGACCGTATAGAGTGGGTCTCTAAAAGCAGTTGCTGGGCTGTTTGCGGCTGCCGCGTCAGACAGGCTCCCTCCCAGTGAACAGTTATTGACTTTGGGCTATTGAATTTAGGGCTCTGGAGGTTGCTCGGTGGGAAAAGTGGGAAAAGCCTTCAGTCAGTGCTTGGCAGCTCTGTCACTGCGAGGTCACGGGAAGGGCAGTGCAGTCTCCAAACCCAATTAGGGCCTCATTCGGCACTTCTTCAATCACAGGAGAAAATCCTACTGAGCAGGGTGGCTCCCATGCCAGGCTTTCGCACCCAGCCTCTCCAGCGAGATGGCCAATGAATGTGTCAGTTTTTGTCACTTGGGCCATCAGAAGTACCCTTTGCTGTTGTGAAACAGCTAAGCAGCTGGTGCGGAAAGGTAAAAAGACTGGTAAGAGCATAATGAGCCCACTAGAGCTGAATTCGGACCAGTGACCTGTACACGTACGTCTGTGTCCCTCCTCATACTAGTACTCATATCTAGAGATGTCTAATTCCTCGGATAAAATCACTCAACTCTTATGAGCAGCTGTAACTTTCAAGTTGAATAAAGTCCAACCGCTGAAGACATTAATGAAAAACATAAAACTGAGGCTCTGTTTTATCAGTTATCAACATCATTACTTTAATTCCACACACACACACGCGCGCGCGCACACACACACATGCCCAAAGGTTTGTGTTCAGGGGTTTTTTTGTTTGTTTGTTTTGGGTTGTGCTTTTCATCCCAGGTGGCTGCAATTTCTAGTGAAAATAACTTGAGCCATGAAAGGTTGACCCACTGACCTCTGAATTACTTTTTATATGATGTGAGTCCCTCAGGGCCCAATTCCACCCATAGAAGTAAGAATGATAGGTATCAACATATATAGGAAGTATGTCAGTGTGCACAAAGAAAAAGGTGGACCCCTGACTGGTCTTGAGTGGTCTTTAAAATATGGATTTCCTGTGAAATGCTGATTAAAGGGGAAGCAAAGGATAATTAAAAAATTAGCCTGACGTGCTAGCAGTTCTGTCAATGTGTGTTTTTTATACTAGCTCTTTCAAAAAGACAGGATCAGTATATCCCTTATGACTCTCTTAAACTAGTGTGTAAAATTTAGTTAGTGTCTGATCAGCTGCTTTGATCAGTCTGGTCTAGACTGTTGCCAAAGTACTTACTCTGTTCTAAACCCACAGTCCTCTCTAAATGGAGGCCTACTCAAGTTAGTCAAATTACATATGAAAAGGTTATAAAAACTGTCCACTGACTTTGAATAAATGAGTCTGGTTCAAAGCAAATACCTCAGGAATGGCAGAAATAAAAGCAGAGATGCTGTGGCAGAAAAGAGGTGCTGGAGTTCTTAATTCGTTTTTAAATGACTCAGAAACCCAAAAGAAGAATTTTCACAAAACCTTTATCATTATTGATTGGATTGACATTTCTGTAAGCCTGTAATGTATTCAGATCCCATAAAGGGGTAAAAAAAAACCATCAAAAATTCTGCACAAATTTCTTTTAAGAAATTAATGCATTACAAGCACCATGTCTGTCTTGTTTCAAGCACACAGTATTGTTTTTAATAGTAGCTGTGGAGGGCCAGTGGGAGCCTTCAGTGTGTAGGTTGCAATCCTGTCACGTCTAATTTCTACATAGGATTATTTGCAAGGGAGTGCTGGAAGTCCAGGAGCAGTAAAATTGTCTGTCAAAGCAGAGCTGTTTTCCCCTCATCACTAGAGCCTTTTCCCATCTACCCCGTTGTAGTGCCATCCCGTCTGTACCTGTCTGTTCTTTGCCACATGAATCTCTGCATGTGAACAATTCCTCTCCTCTTTGGTAATGCTCCTTCCTTTTGCATACTAGCGGTAGTAGATAATAATTCGGAGACAGTTTTAGGCCAATGTCATATCCAGAAGGCTTGGAAAATTATCCAGTGCTGCTGATTTTACAAAGCTGGTTTCTACCTGGGCTAGTTTTCTTGAGATGATTGCTTTAAAATGAAAGGTTAGGTTTTTTCAGTCTTCATGTGCCTGCTGTATTAATTGGTTGCATTGCAGTGCCGTCAGACTACCTGGCGTGGAAGCAATACCAGCAAATTGATCAAATTATCAAGAGACATAAAGCTAGCATGTAAATATCGCATCAACAGGATGAAAAGATTACGGAAAGGATGCCTTTTCAAATATATAGAAACTGGAATCCAAGTGACAGTTGCATGTTCTATCTACACCAAAATCTGTGCAAGTTTGAGAGCTGGTACACTGCTACTATGCAAACACTGGATTAATGTACTCATGGTTGAGAAACAGCTCCAAAACAGGCACTAAAATCTTTGAGGTAATACATAGTTCACCCAGCTCTTCAAAAGTGCCAAACTTTACTATACTCACAGAGCTGCATAAGTAATGGAGAGATAAAAGAACACAGTTCTGGGAGCGAGTGTATGACCACAGAACGCAGGAGGAATATTTGGTAAATTCTCCCCTCTTGTGACTCTGTTTCAGCCAGTAGCATTACATCAGGGAAGAATCGGACCATATTTTGTAGCATAGAAATTGTTAAGAGGCAACAGGGAGGTGTTTGAGAGAATTTCCTCTCTGCTGTTTGCAGAAGCGTATGTGAAGTCATCTGGCTGATCTATAGTCATTCCATTACCTGCCATCTTTGAGAAGATAACTAGTTAAATTTGTGTTAAACGGGATTTGCTTTGCCATTTCCATGTGCTGTTGGAGTAGAAATGTTCTGACATGACATATGGCCAATCAATAACAGGAAAGTGCTTGCATGAGTCATTTGAAGCCAGTAGTTTAGACAGTATCAGCCACAACTGGAATTAAAACCTGCAGAGTTGTTCTACAGTCCCTGATTCTGCAGCATCTCCTCTGGGTGTCTGCATTTCACTTAATAAGGGTACCCTGTAGACATCAACTGAAATAACTCTTGCCTTTGTTGCTTGGATGTTCTTGTGAGCTCTGAAATGAACTTGGCATATACAAATATACTTTGTTATTCCACCTAAAGGATGCAGGGCAGGAATTATTATCCAGCTTCAGTAGAAAAGAAATGACTTTATTTTACTGTGACTCTGAAGAGAATAAGACTGTGACTATACCCTGTGGTTTTTTGAGTATTTTTTAACTTTTTTTTTTTCCCTATACTGATGATATTTTATTGCTATTGCAGGGCTATAATAATCCGAAACGGCGAAGTCATTCCAATGTCTTCAGAATTCACTCCAGAGACCGAACGCCAGCGACTTCAGTATCTGGTAAGAGACCTGAGGGCCAAATGAGGTGCTGCTGAGGACAAACATTGCCCAGTAATATCTAAGGTTCAGACCCACGCTGCTCAGTTACCGCAGCGGCTCTTAGTGGGACCACATGTCTGCTGAACACCAGTGACTGACCATGCACGTCTTTCAGCCATCAGCAAATGTGGAGAAAAGCCTGATGGTGCAAATCCCGATGAAGGGAGTCTTATCTCTCCTGTGAAGGCCATCGATTAGCATGGCTGGGTTTGTGTACCTTGTTCAGCTGCAGACCTTCAGCAGCTCATTGGTATTGGATAACGAGAGCTCAGACACAGAGCTAACGAGCCACAGAGGTACTTTAGTCTATCCCAGCATTTACTGTGTGACAGTGTAAAATACTGCCGCTGGTGGTTGTTCTTGGTGTGTGTGTGTGTGTGTGAACAGTGTATCAGGGTTTTATTAGTTTGCTCTAATAGTATGTCAATAATTTCTTGATCAGGGAAAAGATACTTGACTTAAAGGTGACCTCAGTGAGTATTAGTAGCTGCAGGATAGGATGAGTGAAGGAAGACTAGCTTTATTTAGCGCAGCAGTACTCATAAAGCTGGAAGAGGGTGACTAGGTGAGGAGATGTGTGAGGTTTTGTACACCAAGTTGCATTGCCTGGTAAGTTGCCCAAGAAACGTAAGTCAAAATGTGTGATGTAAGTTTTCATGCAAACAATCCTGTTACTCCTTAAGTTTTTTGTTGATGGTCAGATCAGTTGGTTGAAGTTGGTTAGCTGTTTGTCAAAATGTTATTCCTAACACGGCCAAGAGATTTCTTTTGTGCTGCTTTGGGTCTCCTGCTTTTTCCTCTTAGAAATTTAAGCTTAAGCCAAGACAGGTTCACTGTCAGCTTTGCCTGATGCGAGGTGGACGGGTCAAAGCTAGTGGCGTTCCGTGATCTTAAGGTTCCTTATCTTCAGCCTGGCCCAAGCACTGTAGTTTGAAATTAGGCAAAATGCCAGTGGCTGAAGGCGAAGGTGGAAGGTTTTAAAGAAAAATTGTAAATGTTTCCACAATTGTGTTTAATTTTTAGTCAGCTTCACTGGCTTGAGGCTGAAAATTTAAGAGGAAATACTGCTTTGGGAGTATTCATATTCAGACAACCAAATGGAAAAGAGGCCTAATAAATATTTACAGTTTAGTTACCTTTAAAATAATTTGTTTGCCTTTAAAATAGAAGGTATCTTTACTATCTAGGGAGTCTGCTACTTGTGTAGGAAATATGAGATAAAGCATTGCCTACAAGGGATTTTTTTTCTCTTTTGATGTCCTTTCTGGCTTGTATTTGAAAACAGCAGCTGATCTGAAAAGCATTTCTGCTGTTTCCTTTGGAAAATTCCTTTACCTTTGTTTGTTTATCTTAATTCTCGATGTCACGAATATGGCAGAGCTATGGGTATCATGTTCAAAGAAAAATACATGCAAGACAGCAAGAGCATGAAACAAAATTAGAGAGAATTTCAAACATAGCATTCCGTAAGTAACACTTTTACTCTAGTGTTTAAAAAAAAAAAAATCAACCCCACATTTTTTACAAGGTTGGCATAAACAGTATACTCCAAAGGTTGCATCTGTCTTGCTGATAAGATCCCAAATACTTCTTATTCACCTTGGGTGTCCCCAGGTTCTGCTGTCAAACTATTGCCCCATCAACATCTCTCTTCTGCTGTTCTTATCTGAAAGCTATTTACTTTGGATTTATTTTCTTATATGCATTTAAAGCTGAGTTTCTTTTGTTTCAAACATGTTGCACTGTTCTTCCTGCACAATAGGAAGAAAATCACTTAATCACTTTAATATTTTACTTGGTAAATGCAGAGATACTGTTTGCTGTGGGGAAGTTACTGCCCAGGCAAAGGGAGGGTACGGGTTTACAGCCTGCAGGCTTCCAGGTGTTGACTCCCTGTGCAGTAGACACTGTTGGCACAGTCGGGGAGAAGGAGCTTTCCTCTGCCTTTAGTGCCTATTGATTTCTTTGGCCACACAGCACGTTGGTTGAGGTTAACTTGCATCTTCTGGATTCACGTCCTCTTTTCTGGGCCCTAATTTCCACATGCGAAGAAGTCTGTGGGATAATGAGTTGCTCATCCCTCTGTCTCTACCTGTAGCCCCTGGTTTTTGCAGTGGGAGGACAGCATACAGCTGCAGATTTCAGGCAGGCTGTGTGGTAGAGGCAGACTTCTGTGCCAGGGGATTTGTTGAGAGGATTGCAGAAGGCCATCAGTCCGTCAGAGAGCCCTTCCTAAGATGTAAGGCGTGAAAGCCTTGCACCAGTATTCCCTTGGTCCTTTGGCTTCTGTAAAGGTTCAGTGCACCATACTGCTTCCCCAGTGCACTGAAGATGGTGCACTGCTGCTTTACTACTAGTAACAGGCAGGCTTTACTACTAGTAGAGAGTGAGGTGGCCATCAGTGGCAATGAGCCGTGGATGCTTTTTGCGTTTGGCACCGTTCAAACCAAGGCTGTGAACCCAGACAGGCATGGGTTCAAGGAGGAGCTGTTCCTGTTTCATTGTGCGGGTGAGGATTAAGTGATACTAACTTACCTGATGAAGGATGCTTGCAGAACCCAAGCCTGAAGTGGATATGAACCTAGATCTGCTAAATGCTGATTCAGCACTTTAGCCACAAGTCAGAAGCATCTTAATTCTGTTATGTTTTGTGGCTTCTTGCATCACCCAGCGTAGGAATGTTTTGGCCGTCTGCATGTTGCACGGTGCTGTGGTAAAAGAGATCTGTGGTTTTATGGAAAGGGCCCTCGCTTTTCGTAAGTGGAGAGACCAGTCAAGGGAAGGATTTGGTTCCCAATTCCCTCTTTGCTTCTACCACCATCTCCTTTAGGTTTGAACTCTGGTTGGCTTAAACATGTGGAAGCAGGGACAGGTGGCCTGGGAGGAGTACAGGGAAGTTACCCGAGAGGTTAGAGATCAGATCAGGAAGGCGAAAGCCCTGACAGAATTGAACCTGGCCAGGGACATCAAAGGCAACAAGAAGGGCTTCTATAGGTACATAGGGGACAAGAAGAAAGTCAGGGAGAATGTGGGCCCTCTGCGGAAGGAAACGGGAGAGCTGGCATCCCAGGACATGGAGAAGGCCGAGGTACTCAATGCTTTCTTTGCCTCGGTCTTCACTGGCA